GATTCTCAATATGATTGGCGATTTATTGTGGAGAAAGCTAATAAGTTGGGAGTTCTTGAATGGATGTTTAATCATATGTCAATCAAACCATCGGGTATTGAGAAAATTTTAAAATGGCAATATCAATATAATGTGATAAAGGTTAATGATGAACAATTTCATTCAAAGCATAGCATCTTAAAATTCCAGGATGTGTAGCTATTGATGTTCGGTCCTGTTTTATGGGATTTTATTTCAAAGCTGAAAAGAGTAGCCTGACGTTTTACTTAAACGAATCTGGACTCAAAAGTAAATTGGATATGCCTATTCACCACATGAACAAATATTATGAAAGGGCATTAAATAAAACAAATGTTACAACAGCCAAGCAGATGCGTGAAGTAGCCAAATATTGTATTATTGATGCTATTAGCTGTCAGCAGTTAATGGTAAAGCATAATGCAATTAACGAATACAGGGAGATTGCAAGCATAGCCTTTTTATCATTATTTGATGTACATTACTTTGCAGGAGGGATGAAAGTATGTAATCATTTAGGTGTCAGTATATGAAAGGATGGGATCTTAACCAGTACTATTCAATATTAGCAAACGGAAACAGGAAAGTACCCTAGGGCATATGTTTTCTCACCAGTAAAGAGTCTCGAAAATAAATGACCTGTAACTGGCTTAGACTTTGCATCATTATATCCAAGCCTTATCATGACATATAATCTCTCACCTGATAAAATGATTTTATCCCAAGAGCATGCTGAATCTTTAAAGAAAAGTGGTAAAAAGCTTCATGAAATTAATTTCAAATTCAATGGTAATGATATTCTTGCATAGTCTATAAGACATAATAATATTTCTGAAGAAAAGGGTATTTATGTTATTATATTGGAATATTTATCTGCCAAACGGAATGAGATAAAGAAACGTCTCACCTCTTTGAAAGAAAAAAGGAAGATATGAAACTGGTAATAGGTTTAATGGGTAAAGATTTGTTACTATCAGAAGTAATTGAGCATGTTTTAGCAAAAGCGGAGAAGGAAAAATGTGATAGCCTTAACAAAAATCTATATTATTTTATCAATAAAGAAAAGCATAAATTCATGGCAGAATATGATTCAGTTTGTTTTGATTATTCTTGCTTTAATACGCAACAAAATGCTATTAAAGTGTATATGAATTCATTTTATAGCACTGCTGGGAATAGTAAATCCCCTTTCTTCTTGCGTGAATTGGCTGGAAGTGTCACATCGGCTGGACAGAAAAATAACAAACTTGTTGCGGATTTCATTGAAAGCAAGGGTTTTCAGAAAAAATATGGAGATACTGATTCTTTATATCTAGTCTGTCCAGAAGAATGCTTTTAGGAATGCGATAAGGAATATGACAGTGGTATTGGATTCTCGAAAGAAGATTATTGGTCTTGAATGGTAGAAATCTCTATGGAAGAAATGGAGAAACTTCATGATGAAGTTAATAAATTTCTCAGGAAAGATAACAGATCACTTTATCTTAAAATGGCATATGAGAAAGTCTTATTTTCAGTAGTATTTACTGGAAAGAAAAAATACTATGATATCTCACATGAAAGCAAGCTGAACTTTAATAAAAAGCCTTTTATTCAAGAGGTTGAGATTGTGAAATGAGGTTAATCTACTCTTTTCCGTAAAATAGGAAAGCGTATTATAGATGAATCTTTAAAGGTGAATAATATACGTATCTTACATCAAATCATAGAGGATGTTCTTAGGGAATCTGTAAAGGATATTTCTCAGACAGATCTTAATGATTTAATTAAAACTGCTGTCTGGAAACCAGA